ACCTAGCTCTTACCGGTTTAACATGCTCCTGAAATAGTTTTTTTAAATCGATTTGAGTGAAACCAGCATAACTTCTACATGTAGACGAGCCCTGAGAAAGGGAAGTGGGGATAGCCAGCCATCAGCCGCCTGCCTACTCCCCACGAAATGGGTCAAATGAGAGAGAACCAGGAGGATTTCAGTAGCAAGGGAAATAGAGTTGTTGGAGTGGAGAGAGATGGTCATTTCCCACTGGGTCTTGGTTTCCCTTGGTTCTGGGAATATACACACAGATCGGACTCGACCAATGATCTCTGAGTACAGTACAAAGACATGGACCACAAGGGCTCAATCCTGTAAGGTGCTCAGCGCTCTGGCCCCAATCCAACAAAGCACTTAGGCATGTGCTTAACTTGGAACATGTAAGTTGTTCCATTGACTTAGATAGGGCCAGTCACATGCCTACAGTTAAGCATGTGCCTCAGCGCTTTGCTGGATCGGGGCCAGAGTGTTCAGCATCTTACAGGATGACGCCTTACTAGATTTAACATGCTGGTGCCTTAGGATGTGTGCTTTGTGTGGTACAGTGCAATGTTGGGCTCCAGACTGGGAGTGAATGAAATCAAATACCAGTTTGGGGGAGAGAGCAGTTTATTAAAGGTAGCACTGCACTCTGCTAGTGCTGTTTTCATTCAGATGGTGTCTATTAGCTATGTGAACAGTCAGCTCAGTCCTGCTTTGTGTGAAATTGGCTACCAAGGGTCTTGTTTCAAAGCCTGTTTTGTGTTCCTGTGGTAGCATATTTCAGGACAGTATTACAGACAATAATGCCCCCGCTGCCATGCTTTGGCACATGTTCGGGTTTGTCTGGTATTCTCTCTCCCCGCCCCCTCCTCCCCCCGACCCACACACACACCCCACCCCCGTTGCATCTGAGGACATAAAAGGGCCTGATTTTCGGAGGTGCTGAGAACCGTCAGCTCCCATTGACTTCAGTTGGGATTGAGGGTGCTCAGTACTTTTTGGGATTCTCCATCGCTGACCGTTTTTAAATCAAGATTGGATCTGTTTCCTAGGAATTGTTTTGGGGAAGTTCTGTGGCCTTTGTTATACTGGAGGTCACCCATGATGATCACAGTTGTCCTCTCTGGCCTTGGAATCTGTGAATCTTATGAAAACTAAGCCCCTGATTTTCAAATGTCACTTTCAAACACTAAGGTTCTGTCTGTACTGTGATAAAAAACTTGTGGCACCGAGACTCAGAGACTGGGTCAGCTTGCTCAGACTGTGGAGCTAAAATAGGAGTGTAAACATTTGGGCTTGGGCTGGAGTCTGGGCTCTGAGACCCTCCCCGCACATGAGGTCTCAGAGTCTGGGCTTCACCCCAAGCCCAAATGGTAATTGGGATAAAATACAGCATGGTTTTACAAAAGGTAGATTGTGCCAGACCAATGTAAACTCCTTCTTTGAGAAGAAAACTGATTTTTTTAGACAAAGGAAATGCAGTAGATCTAATCTACTTGGATTTCAGTAAGGCATTTGATACAGTTCCACATAGGAAATTATTAGTTAAATTGGAGAAGATGGGGATTAATATGAGAATTGAAAGGTGGATAAGGAATTGGTTAAAAGGGGAGACTATAATGGGTCATGCTGAAAGGTGAACTGCCAGACTGGAGGGAGGGTACTAGTGGAGTTCCTCAGGGATCGGTCTTGGGTCCAATCTTATTTAACATTTTTATAATGAGCTTGGCACAAAAAGTGGGAGTGTGCTAATAAAATTTATGGGTGACACAAAGTTGGGAGGTATTGCCAATATTGAGGAGAAACGGAATACCGTACAAGAAGATCTGGATGACCTTGAAAACTGAGTAATAGAAATGGGGTGAAATTTAACAGTGCAAAGTGCAAGGTCATGCACTTAGCAACTAACAACAAGAACTTTTGCTATAAGCTGAGGACTTATCATTAGGAAGTGACAGAGGAGGAGAAAGACCTGGGTGTATTGGTTGATCACAGGATGACTATGAGCTGCCAATGTGATGCGGATGTGAAAAAGGCTAATGCACTCCTAGGATGCATCAGGCGAAGTATTTCCAGTAGAGACAGAGAAGTCTTAATACCATTCTACAAAGCACTAGTAACTCCTCATCTGGAGTACTGTGTGCAATTCTGGTCTCCCATGTTTAAGAAAGATTAATTCGAACTGGAACAGGTACAGAGAAGGGCTAGTAGGATGACCCAAGGAGTGGAAAACCTACCTAATGAGAGGAGACTCAAAGAGCTTGGCTTGTTTAGCCTAACCAAAAGAAGGCTATGGGAAGATATGATTGCTCCCTATAAATGCACCAGAGGGATAAATATCAGGGAGGGGAGAGGAATTATTTAAGTTAAGCACCAGTATGGACACAAGAACAAACATATAAACTGGCCATCAATAAATGTAGGCTTAAAATTAGGTGAAGGTTTCTAACCATCAGAGGAACAAATTTCTGTACCAGCCTTCCAAGGGGATCTGTGGCAGCAAAAACCTAACTGGCTTCAAGACTGAGCTTGATAAATTTATGGAGGGGATTGTATGAGAAGACTGATGTAGCTGATCTGCAACTGCTAGCCACAAATATCTCCAGTGGCCGGTGATGGGATGCTAGATGGGGAGGGCTCTTTCGCAGGGTGTCTGGCTGGTGGGTCTTGCCCACATGCTCAGGATCTAACTGATCACCATATTTACAGTCTGGAAGGAATTTTCCTCCAGGTCAGATTGGCAGAGATGCTGGGGGGCGGGGGGGGTGCAGTATGGGGCACGGGTCACTTGCAGGTTTAAACTAGTGTAAATGGTGGATTCTCTGTAACTTGAAGTCTTTAAATCATGATTTGAGGATTTCAGTAACTCAGCCAGAGGTTAGGGGTCTACTACAGGAGTGGGTGGGTGAGGTTCAGTGGCCTACAATTTGCAGGGGGTCAGACTAGAGGATCACAATGGTCCCTTCTGACTTTAAAGTCTGTCTCTCTGCTGCAATTTGATATCTCTGCAGCCTGAGCCCACGAGCCAGAGTAGGCTGACCTGGGCCAGCCACGGCCATGCCCAGGGGTCTTTTATTGCAGTGTAAACATACTCTACTGGTCTTAACAGAACTGGGAATGTTATTAATTGTATTGCGGTAATGTCTTAAGAACCCCAGTCGTGGATCAGCGTCTCGTGCTTGGGAGGAGCTCCCCATAAACATGCGGAAAGCTACTTCCCTATTCTTCAAATGCCTCCTTAAAATTCTCCTTTGCTGTGATAGGTTAGGCCACTGGTGTGCTGTCTATCATGCTGACCAATATTGTCTTGTTTCCTTGTGCTCCTCCGGCTGTCTGTATCCCTCTGTTGTCTCTTGTCGTATAAGTGATGAGCTAGAAAAATGATCTTTCCAACAGCATTCTCATTTGTCTCATTCCTGGTAATCACTGGACAGTGGAAGGGCTCTTTCCTCCAAATAATAACGTATACACTTCTGCAACATGGAGATCGGAAGGAAGAGCTGACTGATCAATAACATGCATGTTCCTTTATTTGGACACGCTTTTGAACCCTTTTAATTTTTTATGGTCTTGTGTTTTTTTGTTTTCTTTTTAACCTTCTGTTTATCAGAATTAACATGAACAGAAACTTTTGTGATCAGATTTTTAGCAGCTGCACATCCTCTTTCAGTGTATACCCATACTGAGTTCGTCTCGAATTACATGCACAACTCCTGCACTTCACAGCTTGGCGTAAATATCAAGCAACTCTTAATCTCTACTAGGAGAGTTCATGTTTTCCCGTATGCTGCCTACCGTTAAAGATAGTGGCAGATAAAGAACAAACTGAAGGGCACAGCTAATCTAGACCCAGGCTACTGTCCGCGATCACAGCTATATTCTACTGAAGCGTGGGGGTGACAAGGCTGTTTAAGCCACTGGCCTATTGCTGTGAAGCTCTCTCCTGAATTAGAACTTCCATGAATCTGGCAGTCTTCAGATCACAATGGAAAACTTGCTGCTTTGAATGTAACCTTCCCCAAATAAAAACAAATTAAACTGAAAGGGGTTGAATTTTGGTAGGAAGATTTTTGTGGAGGAAGATGGTGATTTGGAAGGCCCTCGGTTTCCATGCTAATGAGTGTGGCATAAGAGAGAGAATGGATGAAATAGATTCCATGGAAGGCTGTTGGGCAAATATCAAACAATTAGGAGACAAGCTTTGAGCACATCTAAGTCACATGATGCCCCAGATGGGTCACTGGAAGTGGGGATTGAACGTGGGACCTATGAATCTAAAAGAAGGAGTCTCTACTGCCTGAAACGAAAGACCTGGGTCTATTTATCTCAAAGGCTGTTGCAGACCTATAAACCTCTGTGGACCAGCCATTAGAGGGGGGCAGAGAGCCACACTGTAAGAGAAGGTTACAGCTATTTCCTGTCGCCGCTAGCACCTGTTCAGCTGCATCAGTGATGGGAGCCCTCGTGTATACCAGATTGCAGTAGCTTGAGGCATTTTGACCACTATGATGTCAGTTAAACCTGCTGAAGAGCAGGTGTGAATGACGTGGTGGAACAATAGTGTCTGGCAGCTGGAGCTTTGTCTGTCCTGAGCATTGTGATGTGCCAGCACGTCTCTGAGACCCTGATCTGTTTCTTCAGTGTTAGCTCTCATTTACTAAGAAAAACGTGTCTAGCACTAATGTCGATGGCAAAACCCATCCAAATGCCATATGTTATCTGAATGAGGCTGACTCAGTAACAAAGAAGTGGGAACGGCCTCACTTAGCTCAGTGTGTTAACTCTGAAGCATAATGATGGCGATTTGAAATGACAGTGCTGATAAACTGATCAGCAGTGAAACAGTTAACAGAAACATCCCAGCTACCCTGGGATGGTGGGAGGAAAATAGGATTGTAGGTAGAGCTTGGATAGAGTGTACCCATCTCTGCTCCCAGTCCAAAATCTGCTGTCTTACCTTGTGTCTAAAATGCATCTTGTTTCTTATTGCATTGCAGTGCATTTACACAGGTGTTCACCTTCGGCCCAACCTTTCGAGCCGAGAATTCTCAAAGTCGCCGGCACTTGGCAGAGTTCTACATGGTAGAAGCAGAGGTGTCTTTCACTGAAAGCCTCCAGGACATCATTCAGGTAGGTACCCGTTTGTGTGTGATTTTAAAGGTATTGGAGCTTTCGCCTCCATTCACTGTGGTCGGCCTCAGGGGCAGTGGAATTGAACCTCCTATCACCTACTGTAATCTTTCTAGATAAATCAGGAGTTGTGTTGAAGACCGCTAAGCATTTAAGGTCTCTTTGGGCAGAGGAATGGCCACTGAGGGGAAATGAGGACGGATTTGAGAAAAGGGCTGATCCAGTGTGCTCTGTGTGAGCCATTGGCCAAACAGAGATTTCTACGACGTGCTCCACGACTGCGCTCATTTTTAATACAAAGGAACAACCTGCAGAGATTACTATTCCCAGCATGTAATAGTCCACCTTGATTTTAGCAGAAGGCTGGAACATGTAATCACCGCTGGTCTTACCTGCGTACTAAAGCTGAGATGAGAGCCATTTTGCACAAACAGATGCCACCCTCTGGCTCTCAGACAGCACAGTTTACACATCGCGGTCCTAGTTGTTCTGAGGACCCCACCTCCTGGGGCTTGTGGGGAAGAGTCAGTCCAGAGGAAATAGAGAATTAGAATCTTTCAGAATTTCTCAGGTTCTACAATTCAAAAATAATTCAAAGTTCTGAAAGGTTTGTGGGTTTTGCTCTGATTGGGGGGAGGAAAGAACTTTGCCCCTTTGGCTTTGAGAATTTTTGTTGTTGTTGTTAAATGTCTTGCAAAATCTTAATTTCTCTGGGTTCTCCCCTCCCGCCTCAATCTCTGACCACCATCATCAGCTGTGCGAGAAATTTTTCTTCCTATCACAGTGGTTTATTCTACAGGTCACATTCTGGATTGCAAAATACTTATTCTTGTGATGTTTTTATTTAAAGAAGTAGAGTTCCTGTTTCTTGAAATCACTGGGCAAGCCATTAACAAATATCTGACAGCTGCACTAAGGCCTCAATTAAGTTTCTGTTTCTCCATAAGTCTTTAGAGAAACTGATCTAAATTCAACACCCTTGCACGGCTCAGTGCACTGTGCGGCTTTTCTGTTGAAAGTTTGTTCACTGAGTTTAGTGCTTTACAAAGGGTGCCCCGTTGAAAGTCCTGGCGACTAATGGCCAAATTTGCATGCGTGGGTGTTTCAAATGAGGTTTCTAAATCCATGTCTTGGTACCAAAATACAAACAGCCTGATTTTTCCGAAGTGTGGACTACCTGAACCTCCCATCAACACCAGGGGGAGTTTTGGGTGCTCAGATCAAGGCATTTGTTTAGGGGCGTAAACATGAATACACAAGGCTTACTTCAGGCTCCCGCATGTGAAAATTTCGGCCTAAGTCCTGACACTGCCCTGCTGCCATTGAGGCTGACCTCTTATCCAGATGGGCTATGTGTGTGTTTGTAAGAAAAGTTCAGGATCTCTGCCCGTTCCGTCCTTGACCTCTTTGATACAAGCAACAAGGGCTAGTTATTTTCAGCACAGGAGTGGTGGCTTTGGAGCTGTAGACGCCTGCCCACTAGGAAACAGACTGAGATGGCAAACTTATTTTGCATAGGTCACTGATAGCTCATACCACTTATCATTCAGTATCACCCAGGATGTGATCGGTTTTTTTACTGTCCTCCTAAAATGAAAGGTACTGTGTTGCATTACACAGTCCCCAGAGCCATCCCACAATGTTGCCAGCTCTTGTGATTTTTATCCCCCGTCTTGTGGTACTCCTTGTCTTTTCTCAAAGCCCCAGCTGCAGGAGTCATATGATTACATGAGACTCTCAGCAAAAGAGACTGTGCCTGTGAGAGCACACTGCCCTCCAGCACCTGGCATGGAGCTCAAGGTCCATGAGTCCTCAGTTCCCCTGCTGGTGCAAAGCATCACTGGTAAAGCATCCCATCCTCCGCTAGTGCTGGTCCACATAGGCGATTACAACCTACTACTGCTGTCAGTTACTCCATTAACTCAAGTGGCAGAGGTCTATGCAGTGTATCTAAAGGTTGCAACCCTGCTGATGACCCATGTGGGTGTTAATATGATACCACATGATGGAATATTTCAGTGTGTTTTCATAAAATCTGACTCAATTGCACACACAAAAACTACATTAAAAGAACATTATTAGGGTTGCAAAGTTAAACACTCATTAATTAGGAAATGCCAGAATTAAGGTTGCCTGTGCAACCTTAATTTAACCCGCTTGTGCATATGCTTTATGATACAGTCTTTAATTACATGGTCCCATAATATTTTCCCACAGGACCCCTGCCTCATTCAGTGCACGTGGTGGCTGGTGCTCTGGGAGTGAATCGGTGCTATATAGTAGGGGAGGCTGTTATTTGCCTCATTTGTTACTGAAGTCAGAAGGTGCATAGTGAATGAGACAGGGCATTGCAGGAACAGAAAGGACACTCTTGTAGTTAAGGCAACTGAGTGCTGCCCTGAAGAATTAGATTCAATTCCTGCCTCTGCAACAGCGTTTCCGTGAGATGCTAGACAAACCACTTCAACCACACTTTTCACAGGTGGTCCCTAATTCTGTGTTCTTCGTTTTCTGGGTGCCCAGCTTGAGACACCTGGGGTCTGATATGTAGAAGCACAGAGCACTCACAGCTGCAATTGAAGTCAATGGGAGCTGTGCTTTGAACAAATAAAGTTATGCTAAGTACACTGAAAAATCATAACTTAGGTATCTCAAACTGGGCACCCAAAATTAGTGGATACGTTTGATCTTAAGCTCTATGTGCCTCAGTTCCCCATCTGTAAAATGGGGGCGGTAATACACCTCTCCTCACAAGGGGTGTAGTGATCATTAATGTTTGTGAAGTACTCAGATAACATAATGATGAGCATCATAGATAAGCCCTGGAGGAAATTAATAATTCTGTCTTCAGGGCAGGGTTTGAATAGTGTGTAGTAACTAAGGCTGCAGCCTAGGAGAAAACAAACTATTAAATAGCTCCTCATTAAGTGAGCACTGTTCATTCTGTGCACTTAATGAGGCAGAGGTCTTGTAGAAAAAAATAGTATGTAATGATGTCATTAAAGATCATCATGCATATGCACAAGGGTGCTGAGTTAAAGTTGCATGGGCAACTTTAATTTGGGCACTTCTTAACTTGATTGCTTGACTTTGCAACCTTAATAATGTGCTTTTAATGTAAGTTTTGTGTTTGTCATTAGGAAATAGGTCATTGTCAACACAATGAGAAATATTTTCTTTGCAGCTGTTTCACTGACAAATTATTTCTGTTGGTCCTTTGGAGCAATTGTTTCTTGAGGCAAACATTTCCTGTACAAAAATGGTGAGAGAGCTCCTCTGGGATCCCAGAGTTGGTTTCTGGGGTGATGTGTTTGCCTACGAGAGTGTTCAGTTACATCATTCACTTGAAACAGACCAATGTAGACAGCCAGTTGACACCGCTGACTGTTCTGTTGTGACACACCATGAACACAGCCCTTGCTCTCTAGAAATTTAGCTCCTTACACGACAGCTATGCACACAGCAGGGGTGAGTGAGTATCTGACATGAGTCTCACCATTTTGTGTGAGCAAGTATGAAGAGGAGAGGAATATCAGTGCATGAAAACTCGGGTGAATCATGACAAGTGCATGACATTGCTTGAACATGTAGCAACCTGCTATCGACCGAAGACTACATCATCGTCATTGGGCACGATTCAGGGTGAACGTGTAGACAAATAATCCCATACGGGAGTGTATCGGTGATTGTGCCTTATGCTGACAGCAGAGATGCTCACACATTCTCCTCCGTTGCACAGCAGCCCTGTTGTCTCAAACCTCCAATTTTGTTGCAAATACAGTACTGCTTTGTTGAAATATCTACTGTTTTCACTTCAGGTGTAGTTTTATATTGGGGATATCGAAAGTCACAAGCAGAGTACCACAAAGTTAAGGTCTGAGCTCAGAATCCCAATTGGAGACCTTCAAGAAGTCCTCCAACAAAATCAGGGAAAGCCTGCTGAGACTTTTAAAGTTTAAAAAGAAAAAAGCAGGAAAAAAATTTGGGGTGGAGGATGGGAAAATTACACCACCACCCCACTGCTCCCTCCCCAGCTTTTATGCCATCTTTATTAAGAAATAAATAAAGGGAACAGACAAAAAAATTTTCCTTTTCAGGTCACACTTCTTGCAGGAGGCCTATAAAACCTGGCCCCTCCAGTCCATCCCATCACCAAAGTACTAACAGAAATGAAATTAACAAGGCATTGGTTGTACTCCTCCACTTGCTTTTGTGATATCCTATTTCCCATCCCTCCATCTTGTCCTGTTAAAATTGTAACCTTGTTGGTATGTCTTTACTGCAAAGGAAGCAGCATGGGTAGGCATGCTGGCTTGAATCTATCTAGCATGAGTAACAACAGTAGTGTATACATGGTGGCACGGGCTTCACTATGGGCTAGCAACCTATGTATGCTCTCAGGGTCACCGACGGGCTTGTGGCTTGGGTTGCTA